TACTTCCACGTCTTTAATGATAGTTTAATAAATTGTTGATAATGAATCTATTCAATGTGCATACTATAGAAAGAAGTTTATGTTATATTGGAGTTAGTAAAATGCTTAAAAGAATTGTGCATACACAAATGAATATTTGAGCACATTACAAAATTCAAATGAACTTTTGAATTTTTCGATGCACATTTTGAAAGTTATATATGTATGCTCATTGGATACTAGTGTTACGCTCATGTTAAAATGTCATATCAATGCACATTTCAAAAGTATAATAATACACTAAATTCACATATTGAAATTCACAGGAGTTGATTATAAATACAAGTATAATTTAAAAAATTTGTACAAAAGAAAAAAGAAAAACTAACAATAAGAAAGTGAATTAAAAGACATATATGGGAGCAACGATCACGATACTCAATTTGAGAGTTTTCATACACAATAACGTAGGTTTGATGGAAAATAAAAATGTAATGTTGCTAAATTCGTAGAGACTTGCATATATTGTCATAATGTTGCGATTTTCATACTATATAATAATGTAAATTTCAGAAGTATAATAATTTGTAATAATTTAGATTTGCATATTGAATTCACAAAAGTTGATTATGGATATAATTTAAGAAATTTTTTACAAAAGAATAGAAAGAAGAAAAAAAGAATTATTGAACACTCCATATTGTTGTTTTTAATGGAAATGTATTATATAATTTGATATGATTTTTATTCTTAATCAAATAAGTAGCATATAAATATATTGCATATTTTTTCTTTTTAGGTATTGAAATTGCAATTTTATTGGTTAGAAATGCTTTAAATTTTTAAAAAATGGAAAAACAACCAAAGTCGGGGTTTTTTCAGGTTTATCAGGTTTTTCGGGTCCAGGTTTGGATCTGATTTTGCCAGGGCGGCCGGGTTTTCCGATTTTTGACCATTTTTGGTTTTTAATTAACCGAACCAAGTTTCGATCCGGATCGTCGGATTCTGGGTCAACCCGACCGGGTCGGGTTGGTTTTTTAAACATAGCTTCCACGTTATAACAATTCAGTGGGGACACATATCCCTAACAACTTTTAACAACCTTTGCTTTAACAGAATAAGTATACTCTGCACATGGATTTCAGTAATTTATTTAAAATAGTAGTTTGCCCCGAATAGTTTTTATTTTATGCCCCCACATACCTTTTTTATTTTATACCACCAATTAAGGGGTGTGCACAAACCGGTTCAAACCGGAAAGCCGGAGGGACCGGACAGAAAAAACCGGAACCGAACTGACCCAGATGATATCCGGTCCGGTTTTCAGTTTTCAAATATTGTACATCCGGTTTCTTGTCCGGTTCCGGTTAAAAACCGGATCGTTCCGGTTAAAAACCGGATCATTCCGGTTAATTAATAGTCTTAATATAAAATGGTCATAGAATAATAAAAACTAATGATAGTTATAAAAATATAAATAGTAATATTTTTAATATGTAGTATTTATTTTCGTATTGTTTTATTCATATATATATATTCTTATTTTTTTGATAATAGAATTAACTAATATTTACTATTGTACCCACAAATTGCTTAAATCTTTACTCTATAAGACTAATAAAGTAAAGAAATAATTAATAGTAGTAATAGTTATACTATTGGTAACAAATACCCCATTTTTATTAAACAAATTAGTTGTATTTTTTTAGTATTTGAAATTAATAATTTAAAAACCGGTTCTTTCGGTCCGGTTCCGGTTTTAAACCGGTAAAACCGGCCCGGTTCCGGATCAAAACCGGAACATATCCGGTCCAGTTTTCGGTTTTCATTTTCTTACAAATCCGGTTCCGATCCGGTTCGGTCCGGTTCGGTCCGGTTTTGAACCGGTGCACACCCCTCCCAATAGTTGTACTTATATTATTTCTGAATTAATACCGAGTAAAAACTTATTTAGAGCTATTAATTACTACGTATTACACATAACCAAATATCATAAATGTATACGGTTATAATTTCAAAATTTGAAATAGAAATATCTAATATGTAAATGATTTGGTAATGATAAGTTGATAATGAGTTGTAAATTTAGGATGTTTTTTAATTAGACTATAATTCTCTGTTCGTGTTTTTGTGTAATTTACAAAAGTTAAGATTTGGTATGTCTAATTTGGTCTAAAATGACTTGGACTGGTCTAGGATGATCACTTTTTTAATCAGACTGTAATTTCTGGACTAATTTATGAGTTTTGGCTAATTTCTACTCCATCTCTTTTCTTGTTTTTCTTTAGTCATTTTAATTAACTTTATTAATTAATTTTTGTTAGTATTTCGAGACACACCGAACATAGTGTAACGTAACCTCTTAGCTAAGACAATGTAAGATTATATCTAAAAGTAAGATAATAAGATTAGTTTATAGTTTTTTATCATTCCTAAGGGCTAATGAGAATGTCTATCAAGTACAAACAATCAATCGTATAACCCGTTTGATAATACTCAGTTATTGAGCGTACCGAGTATTATGATGTTCTGGTTGAAGAGACTGCATTGACTGATTCTATTGATTTATGAAAATATTATACTCCCTCCAGTTCACATTCTTCTTTACACTTACTATTCATTAGTCAACTCAAGTCACTCTTAATCTTTTACTTTATATATCAAATTTTTATCGAATTTAAATTTTCTTGATCAGGCTTTGTAGCGGTTCCAATGTAGTTTCTGAATATGTAAATTTTATTTACTAAAAATAATCTGAGTGTGAACAGGGATCGAGTTGCTTTATCGTCAGTCAAGCATTTTTTCTGAAGTGTCAAGGAGAATGTGAACCGGAGGGAGTATTAGAAGTATATTTTATTAATAAATTAAAGAAACATGTATATGAAAAATGGCAAAATGATATTTAACAATAACTTCGGTCAATTCAGCGAAAAAAGTAACTTTTTGTTATTATTACACAATTCAGCGACGAAATTAAAAGTTAAATGTTTGGTGAAAAAGATGACCGATAAACCTGATAAGCCTAAGGACTTTTGTACTTATTTTATTTCTTAAAATAAATTAATTTAATGCTAGTAATACTCATAACCAAATATTATAAACAATTTACGGTTATAATTGTGATATGGTGATAATATGATATGGTAATAATGAATTGACAAGCTCTTGTTAGATCATCTAGCTAGACATAAGGCGCCACATGTCATTTAAATCAAATGTGTGAGAGCATCATCAATGCTACATTGTTAACATGTTATAAATCTTGACACATGGCAATTAATAAATGAAATTGTCATCCACCTCATATGAGAGTCATCATGTAGGTGCACGTTGAAACCCAAAAATCATACCCAATGTATGATGTCAACAACCCACATAACCACCATCAACGTGTAAGCCATTTAAGAGAATTTTTTAAAATTAAAACGCCTCATGTTTAATCATTTTACTATTGCACCCCAAAATCCTTCTAGATCTGCCAGATTACTTTATAGAATTGTGAATTGATATCAAATTCAATTTTTGTACAGATGAAAAGCAATGAACTCTGCATCGTTTTCGGATGAATTGACTTCTGGGTTTTGAAATACTACGTAGTTTCTTTTACGTAGAACATATTGATGGATTAATCTTTTTTACACCTTAAACCCATAATCCATTGAATTAAAAATGGAAATCTGCATAAAATTAAGGAATCTATAATCTATATACCTAATCAGAAATTAAGTTATTGGAAGAAGGGAGAAGTCACTTACTATGGGCTATGGCACGTCTCTCTGCGGAAGCCTCCAGGAGAAGTATCTGCTTCACGTTTGCGCTGAGTCAGCATGTTCAATGCGCTATTGTATGATGACAGTGGTGAAAACAGTGTCAACATTAACTTTTGACATGTCAGCATTATACAAGAGTGAACATCGTGCATTGGAAACGAATTTCTGTGGCAATGTTAAATCCGGATGAAGTGGCAATTCTTTTAATGTGAATAGTGACCCCATTGGAGATGCTCTGAACCATCTTGTAGGTGGGATCTATTATAATTTACAAAATACACCAAAAATATAAAATATAAATTTTTTTGTTTACACATAAAAGGAATTGTGATCAAATTAACTTTTCATGACCTTGCTATTTAGAGAGGACTGGACGGAGGGGATATATAAGTTATTAAATAAGCTAGCAATGCCCTATAAACTTAAATAGACGAACGAAAAAGGTAAAACGAGACAAAGTTAAGGGATGAAGAGAATACAAGTTATTTTTTTGGAAAAAATTGTTAGAGTACAAGACATGAAAATTTTAATTTTTTTTACTAATAAAAAAGGGAATATTTTAATGGTCAAAGTTGTGTGTTGGCAAACGTGAATATTGGACCGTGACAACTAAAAGAGAACTGAGAAAGTACTACACATTTTATAAATTAGATTAATTAAATACTCTGTAAATTATTTTTAAATAACTGTTTTAATTTGTCCCTGTATAAATACAACCTATCATCCAGACAGACTCAGCTCATCCATTAACCGGAGTATCGTTCATAAACAAGCTAGTTGAGAGAGTATACTTGATATCTTCCATACCTTTATCTTTGATCTTCTTCCCTTTCTTTGCCGGACTTAGATCAACCTTGCTAGCTAGACTTCCTTCCCATCCCCGCCGGACTACTAACATAGCGCGATCGACCTTCCCCATCCCCACATGACTTAGACCGGCGGCGGCCTTGCTTGTCTCCTCATTCCTGCCGGATATTTATAAATATCTCAAACCTGAAAAAGTAGAAAACGGCCAATTTATTGCTCCTTTGCCGACAATAGAGATACATGCCCGTGTAAGTTGGTATTCTCGAATGAAATGCACGACTTTTTATTAATTTTTTCTTAAAAAATATTGCTCAGTAATACATTAGTGGCTGCGTAGAAAATTTAAATCTTGCAGTCAATTTTTAGTTTACATGCTCAACTGCATGCTTATATCAGATTAATAGCTTTCTTTTTTAATATTGTTCGTTTCAATCTTATTGTTAGAACTGGTGGATTTCGAAAGGAAACTAAACAAAAGAATTCAAATGAAAACTTGGTGTCAGAATGGTGATATTGAATGCTTGATCGCAGAGTGAAGAAGTTCCGCATATTGATTGAGGGTATTGTGCATTATTGATCGATTGCTTAGATAATATGTTTTACGGGTAAATTAGACAGTTGATATAGTTTTATAAATTAAAATTTAGTTAATAAAAATAGTAAAAGAGATATTATATATTTATAATAAAAGGATATTGTTTAAAATACATAAATGTCCCTACTTTATTACACCCCTCCTCAAACTATGCCGGAGATACAACGCGCAGGTTGTCCTTTAAAAAATGAAAACGTTGACTAGGAAGACTTTTAGTAAAAATATCTGCCAACTGAAGATGAGTAGTCTATTAGGATGGAGGTAGTATTTTTTAGAAGTACTTTAAATCATAATCAATTATTTTTGTATTTAGGTTATGTACAGAGTAATTTTTTAAACAAGGTGTTAACTAATACTTAAGCAATGATCGATTAGTATATATGAACAAGCTGGTAAAGTAGTGATTTTTTATATGGGTAGTAATGTACTCCGTAATTTATACTCCGTATTTTTAGATGATAATTTAACCACCGTGAACTCTCGGTTTAAGACATCAGATACACTTAGGAACGGAATTAGAAGAACTTTTGAAATAGTGCCTAAAATAGAAATGCTCAACTGCTTGTACGTACGTATTAAGGGAGTGTTTGCAAGAGATTAAAAAAGTGATTTTCAGTTTTTAACAAAAAAACTGAAATGAAATGAGTGTTTTTTAAGTCTGTAATAGTTAGAAGCTCGAAACAGATTGGGAGGCGCTTTAATGTGTTTTCACTTTTTCTTTATACGAAAATCACTTATTTTATTAAAACACTATTCAGTTTTGATTTTTCAAAAGCATATTTTTCTCAAACACTATTAACTTTTACGATTAAAAATTATTTTAAAAAAAATAATTTTTAAAATATATCAGTATATGTGTATACATAGTTTTATTTGTAAATTAACTTTTTCTGATTTACCGAATTACCGTTTACGTATTATACAAATATGAGTTGTGTTTCTATTTTTTTTTAGACAAATTTTAACATTCAACTTGATCAACTGCTTAATTTGTAAAACCAGTAGTACTTTCAAGCTAATAACCTGCGGGTATGTAAACTATATGAATGTGTATACAAAAGTCTTCCAACATAACTACGCTCCTAATTAAATCTGTATATTACTTTATAAATGCTACTCCCTCGTCTCTCTAAATTATCCCCCAAACTTTCTTTTTCTCCCGTCATAAAATAATCTTGCATTTCTTTTTTGGTAAAGTATTTGTGGTTCACAGTCATTCTTACATATTGTTATGCAGTTGTTTCTCTTCTACTCAATTTTTCGTCACATAATACTCATTATCTTAATCCATTTATCAAATGTACTTTGTAAGAAATTTAGGGGCAAAAAGAGTATAATGTGATACTACGTAAATACGTATATTACTACTGAATGCACTCTTTAATTTGATGACTTTCAAATATATATATGTGATTCCATTAATTATCTAGATATTGAAAAAAGAAAAAAAGTACAAATATACCCATGTATTATGGGTGTGAGAACAAATATATATCTATTCTATTTTTTGTGACAAATATACCCCTGAAGTTTATGTTCAGATGCATATATATCCTGACTTTTTAAAAGGTGCAAAAATACCTTTCATGTTCCTAAAAAGGATCAAATTTACTCTTATGGACTTTAAATAAATAATATTATTTTAAAAAATACATAATAATAAATTATAAATTTGAAATTGAAAAATAAAACTAAAGAGTTAAAAATTGATATTAATTTTTATGTTAAAATATTAACTCTTTAATTTTAAATTTCAAAATTATAATTTTCCATTGTAAATATGAAGCACTTCAAATTCATAAATATTAAGTTTAGTCTTGTTGAAAAACATTGAACACATTGTTACATATTTTGAAATAACATTCTTTATTTTTTTTAACCTTAAAAAATTAAATTCACTATTTTATAATCTTGGAGTACTTATCATCATACAAAATAAATAATTTAGTGTAAAGAATACAAAATTTGAATGGTTTTTACATTGCAACACATATGTTAACATTTTTTCAAAAAAAAATCTAAAATATATGGTAAAGTTTCGAAATAATATTTTACACTAACAACATTAAATTGTGATATAAAAATAATAAAAGGGAGAATTGGACACAAGACGGTTTTTTTTTCAATTCTCAAATTTATAATTTATTTTGTGTGTTAATTGAAATTTATTTTATCTATTATATTTATAGTCAATAAGGATAAATTTGCTCCTTCATGGGAGAATGCGGGGTGTTTTTTGCACATCTTTAAAGTTCAGAGGAATATATGCACCTCCACATAAATTTCAAGGGTATATTATTCTAAAAAAATAGAATATGGATATATTTGTTTCCACATGTTTAAATTTAAAATGCATTTTGCAATTCCCAGTAAAGTGTTAGTAGAACATTGTTTGGTGTAATTTTTTAGGGGAACAAGTTATACTCCCGCCGTCTCAATATAAAAGGCACATATTCCTTTTTGGGCCGTCCCAATATAAAAGACACATTTCTTTTTTTGGCAAACAAAACAGTGCAAAATAGTGTCAAACAGTGTCCAAACAGTGTTCCTCCTAAAAATGGTTGAAAAAGAAAATGTTCTCTTTATATTGGGACGGAAGAAGTATATATTTATAGAGCTTTCATGAACTTTATTGTCATGTCATTGTCACATAAAAAATTTCAAATGATCTTCAAATCTATCAACTTCTTCTCAACCATGATTTTTATTTACCCAGATTTTTTGTGAGTAGTATTTTAAATTTAAAATCCATTTTGCAATTCCAAATAGTTGCAAGAAACGTTGTAATTCCAAATAGTTCACAAACAGTAAAGCTCCAATAGCCATGCACATTAAAAGTAGTGTTTTTTAAGAAGGTTTCAATTGATATCATAGCATTCAGATGGGGTTAAACAACAAAAAGACCAGATGCAACTGTCATCTCTCAAACCTGACTTAGAGTCAACCACTTTCAAAAATGAAATATGACTTGATGATCCTACAATGGGCATAAATGAGCCAACGACGGCTAAAATAGGTCTCACATCACCCAATCCTAATGCAAGATTATGCAATCAAACACTCAAACAATTACCTCGGGATGGTTATACTCAAAAGTACTTCAACCATGGAGTGACTTACTCATCGATCTTCATTGAACTTAAGATCTAGCGTTGTACTAGATGTTGAGTTGGACTTTCTGTCACTTGTGATTATATTCTAAGAGCTTTAACCCATCTCTTTTGCCGTTTTATACACCATGTCCCTTGGCATCACTTTTGTAAAAGGATCCGCCAAATTTACATGCGACCGTACAAACTCAATCACAACAACTCCAGAACTAATAAGTTCTCGCACATAGCTGTGTCTCACTCCTATGTGCCTTGACTTATCATTGTACACATGGTTGTATGCTTTTGATATAGTTGATGAACTATCACAATGGATTGATCTCGGAGTCATAAAGGTTTAGGCCATATCGGAATTTCTGACACTAAATCCTTTAGCCATTCCGCTTCTTTACAAACGGATTCTAAAGCTATAAACTTTGAAGTCATGGTAGAGTACGTGATACAAGTTTGTTTCTTAGATTCCCATGAAATAACACCTCCTCCAAGAAGGAATAACCAAACCACTTGTTGGTGAATAATCCTCTTGATTGGTTATCCAACTTGCATCCGTATAACCTTCTAGTATACAATGTTCACTCTTATAACATAAATCAAAGCTCATTGTTTTCTTTAGATATTTCACCACTCGCCTCAAGGTTGCCAATCAAATATACTAGGGTTACTAGTATATCTACTAAACTTGCATACCATAAATGCAATATCTGGTCAAGTGCTAGTCATTGCATACATCAAACACCCAATTACCCTAGCATATTCAAGCTGAGATGCAACATTCCCACTATTTAGAACTAATTTCCAACTAGGATCCATAGGAGTCGAAACCGGGGAAGAATCCAAACTCCCAAATCTTTTCAACGCTTTCTCTATGTAGTGAGATTGTGTTAAAGTGATTGTATCACCTTGCTAAATTATCTTAATTCCAAGGATAACATCCAATTCACCCATATCTTTCGTGGAGAGTTTGAACAGAGGAAAGCTTTTGTCTCTTTCACTTGCCTCAAATATGTGTCAAATATGAGCATGTCATCCACATATACACAAGTAATGACATCATTGCCTTTTGCTCATTAAATTTGTTATATACGCATTTGTCTGATTGGTTTATTTTAAAACAATATTACGAACCACCTCATCAAACCTTTGATGCCATTGTTTAGGTGTTTGTTTTAGACCATACAAGGATTTGAGAAGTTTACAAACTTTCTTTTCTTGTCCTTTAACAGCAAATCATTCAAGTTGTTTCATATACACCTCCTTCTCCAATTCACCATTTAAAAACGCAGTTTTGACATCCATTTGGTGAATCACAAGATTGTGAATGGACGATAAAACAATTATATATATGGATATATAAATATATATATATATGTAATACTCTCCACTGATCTGCTAATATTGTCTTGTCTATCCCATTAATTAAGATTGTCACATGCTTAATTAATTGTAGAGCTATCATGCATGAACCTTGTAATAAACTAGTGCTCTATATTCAAGTTCTGAAATTTATGGAAACATGTTGTGTGCCATTTTGAATCAAACAGGATCATGGTTGGATCAATGACTAAGAGGAGTTTCACTTATTTGCGGAGCATAATACTAGTAGTGGCTGCACGTATTTGTAACAGAGAGATGTTAAGGTTTGATTTGAGGGAAATTACCGAGTAAAACCTAAGCCATTATCGACAACACGACTGCTGAGATGTATGTGACACATTCAACCGTACACTAATAGTGCAATGAATCTTCCCATTGAAGGAAGTTATGATATCGGGTTAGAAAAATATTATCTTGAATTTCTTATTTCTAGTGCAATACACGCTAAATTGAAAAACATCTTCAACTATTTATTTTATACATTAAATAATATCAAGTGAGGTGGCTATTGTTTTAATATATGACATGTTATAATGGTTAGACTTTACTATACACGAATTCAATTGAGATATCCACCAAAAGAATTATGTGTACAAATATACGCAAGAAGTGATGGTTTGTGAGTGAACTATGCTTCTTGTAGAGATTGGCAACGCAGAAGTTTGCTAGAGGTATCATGCATCTTAATGTTTAACTCAATGAAAATTTAGAATAACTAAATTTTTTTACTCGATGATCTTTTATGCAGGCTCAACAAGTATTCTTCGACCCATCAGCATTAATGACATCCGGATTCATTTCATCCTCAAACGACAAAATCTGCATTGCGGATGGATGCAGATGTTCTTTCCATGCCAAAATCATTGCATCCAGTATTAATAATATGGTGGAGGTTATTGGGCATTTATTGATTACGTGTACAATGTCATCCACTTGGAGAAAACTGGTGGAACATCAGCTATAAACACTTCCACTCAAATTATTTTTGGGTAAGCATTGTTTAGTATCAAATAGCTCGATTATAAAATATATATATATATATATATATATATATATTTCAATTTCCTCTTTTTTAACGGGAGCAATTTAATTTATATATTTATAACTTATTTAATTACATTAACATAAAAAATGTGCAATTCAACACCAAGGCACAGAAAGTCAGACTCCTCTACTTGATGGCGTATTTGGGCTTGGAGTTAACCAAATCCCCACTATCAACCAGCTCTCAGCAAACAGTGAATGCAACTGATATTCTCTTATTGTTTGAAACGAAGCGGTGGTGGTACATTGATGTTTGGACAAGTTGAGGAGCCAAATATTGTTTACATGCCAATGATTAAAGGGTATGTATTTTGTCTTGTAGATAGAATAAATTATAAGCTCAAACTTGAGTATATTGTATTAGCACCTACACCCTTATTTAGAGGTTGCATGACCATTGCAACCTTCACACTAAAATGTTACCAGTTTGTCTAAGTTTAGGGCACATTTAATTAGATGTGTATGTGCATATGTATGTATCATGATATTTTTTGGTTTATACACTTGCTCTTTAGTACAACTAAACATTCACAAGGTTGATTTGTAAATCTTCTAGGAAAAGTTTCTCTAATATTCATGCAACCAATTTCATACCGAATTACAATGTGGAGTTGCAGAGTATTTATGTAAATGGCCAACAATTAACAATTGATCCACAAACATTTAGTACAAATTATGGTGGAACAATAATTGACTCAGGAACAACTCTTGCTCACATTGTGTCCGGGGCACATGGTCTTCTCTAATCAATGCACTATGTTAATTACTACGGAGTATTACTTAATCGACTTAAGAGTGACCATTATTATATTTGATCAATTACAAAAGGGAAATGGTAAATATATTTGGAGTGTGCATGATGCTTAACTAATTATATTTTCAATTGTGATAATCACTAATGCTCTTATTTACATATATAGATCAACCAAATCTTAATTGACACATGCTAATGTGATTTATATGGGGGATACTCAATGCTATGCATCCACATTCAGGTTCTCCACTACGGCTCCGCCAATTTGTTTTACATCATATTTGTTGTATCACTCTTTAAGTTTGAATTATTTTTTCCATGCATGTACTTTGAATATTTGGCATTATAATGGTCTTAATATTTGAATACAGGGTGTTTTCTGTTCTTCCAATACTCCGTTTCAATTTCGATAGAGGTGCTTCAATGACGTTAAGGCAATTGATTACCTTATAAGTCAAAATTTTGTGATAAGTATACGCGGTGTTCTTCAGTGATATTCATTAAGTAATTGGATATTTAGCGCATGTCAAATAGTCTCTCTGTGCGGGACAATATTGTCTCTATTGTGAGAGACAATATTAGCGGGACGGAGAGAGTATTTAATTAACAATATTAGCGGGTATTTAACATGTGCTAAATGTACGTCCAATTACTTAACAAATCACTAAAGTATACAAATTATATTCACCACAGAATCTTGACTTATAAGGTAATCAATTGACCTTAACGTCATTGAAGCACCTCAAGCGAAATTGAAATGGAGTATTGGAAAAATAGAAAACACCATGTATCCAAAAATTAAGACGATTGTAATGCCATATATTCAAAGTGCATGCATGGAAAAAATAGTTCAAGCTCAATGAGTGATGCGACAAAGAAAATGTGAGCCAAATTGGTAGAGCTGTAGATGAGTATCAGAATGTGGATGCATAGCATTGAGTATCCACCATATATAAAGCCCATTAGCATATGTAGATACAACATGGTTGGTATATACATGTACATAAGAACAATGGTGAAAATTTCAATTGAAAAACTTAACTGGTTAAGGTGCATACAGACTCCACTCATATTTACCATTTCCCTTTTGTAATTGATCAAATAATGGTCACTCTTAAGTTGATAAAGTAATAGTAATTAATTTAGTGCATTGATTAGAGAGGATCATGTGCCTCAGACACAATGTGAGCCAGAGTTGTTCCCGAGTCAATTATTGTTCCACCATTATTTGTACCAAATGTTTATGGATCAATTGGTACTTGTTGGTCATTGACATAAATACTCTGGAACTCCACATTGTAATTTAGTCTGACATGGGATGCATGTATGTTAGACAAACGTTTCATAAAAGATTCACAAATCAATCTTATGAATGCATAATTCCACTAAAGAGTAAGTTTATAAACAAACAAGTATCATCATACATACATATGCATGTAAACATGTAATTAAATGCGCCCCAAAACTTTAAAAAACCAGTAACTTTTAGTGTGGGGTTTGCAATAATCGTGCAACCTCTAAATAGGGTGTGGGTGCTAATACAATCTATTAAAATTTGAGTTTATAATTTATTTTATCTACAAGATAACACATACTTTCCAACCATTGGCATGTGAACGATATATGCTCCTCAACTTGCGCAAGCATCAATGTACTACCGCCACTTCTTTTCAAATAATGAGAGAATACTGATGGCATTACTCTGTTTGCTGAGAGCTAGTTGATGGTAGAGATTAGGTAAACTTCAAGTCCAAATATTCCATCAATTAGAGCAGTAAGACTTTCTGCGCCTTGGTGTTGAGTTGCACATTTGTGATGCTAAAGTAATTAAATAAGTTGCAAATACATGAGTTAAATCTCTATAGTGAGAAAAAAGAGAATTGATATATATATATATATATATATATAGATTTTATATTCAAACTATTTAATACTTAACCAAGCTTACCCAAAAATAATTTGAGTGGAAGTGTTATAGCTGATGTTCCACTGGTTTTCTCCAAGTAGATGACATTGTGCACGTAATCAACCAATGCCAATAACCTCCTCCGAAGTGATATTAGTGGGTCATATGGTTTTGGCAGAACATCTCTATCCATCCCCAATCCAAATTTTGTGGTCTGAGCATGAAATGAATCCCGATGTCATTTACGCTGATGGGTTGAAGAATGCTGATTGAACCTACATGAAAATTTATCAAGTAAAAACATGTTAGTTATTCTAAATTTTCATTGAACTTGAACTTACAAGGAAAACATTAAGATGCATTATACCTCTAACAAATTTTCGCGTAGGCAATCTCTACCAGAAGCATAGTTCACCCACAAACCATCACTTCTTGTGGTTATGTGTATGCATAATTCTTTTGGAGGAGATCTCAATTGAATTCGTGTGTAGTAAATTCTAACAAACATAACATGTCATATATTAAAAAAATAGCCACTAAACATAGTACTAAATAATGCATAAAATAAATAGTTGAAGATGTTTTTCAATAGAAAAATTCTTTTGGTACACCTTGGGTTACACCTTGGTGTACACCCTATATAACCCCCACATTTCTTATTTCTCCCCTCCCAACTTTTTTCTCTCCACTCTCATTCTCTCCACTCCTCTCCCATTTGAATCATACGGATCCCGCTCCCTCCTCTCTTTCTTCTTTCCTTTTCTTCTTCTTCAACATATTGTTCTTTCTTCTTTCTTTCTTCCTTTCTCTTTCATCTTCTTCCTATTCTTCTTCTTCTTTCCTTCTCTTTTTAGGTTTTATTCATCCTAATCATCTTCATTATCTTCATCAACATCTTCTTCTTTTTCTTTCCTTCTCACTTTTTACGTTTTATCCACACCGACACTGATTTGCTATAGTGTCTATGTACACAGACGAAAGTTGTATATATACAGACACTTTTTTTTATACAAGACAACTAACGTCTGTGTACACCGACACTTGTTTTCCGACTAATTTTTCACACCGACACTTTTTTGTCTACACAGACAACTAACATCTGTGTACACCGACACTTGTTTTCCAACTAATTTTTTCACACCGACACTTTTTTGTCTACACAGACAACTAACGTCTGCGTACACCGACACTTATTTTCCAACTATTTTTTCACACCGACACTTTTTTGTCTACACAGACAACTAACGTTTGTGTACACCGACACTTGTTTTCTAATTAATTTTTCACACCGACACTTTTTTGTTTACACAGACAACTAATGTCTGTGTACACCGACATTGGTTTCCGTGCAACCAGCCTGACAGATCTAGAAACTAATTTTACTCACACCGACACTTTCAATGAAAGTGTCTGTATTTGTGTGTTTTTTGCCTGTGAGAAGGGCAAATAAATGGGTGTACCCCAGGGTGTAACCCAGGGTGTACACCAAGAACTATTGTTTTCAATATAGCTTGTATTACGCTAGAAATAAGTAATTCAGGAAATTTTTTACCAACTCAGTGTCATAACTTCTTTTAACTGGAAGACACATCACACTATTAGTATAAGGTTGAACATGTTATATATTTCTCAGTTGGTCGTGTTGTTGAAAATGGCTTACGTTATATTCTTTGGTAATTTCCCTTAAATCAAACTTTACCACCTCGCTGTTACACATAAGTGCAGCCACTATTGAGCTTCCAACTTCCAAGACCAGTTAACTTGTATTCGTTTTCTTTACCTCTACAAAAGAAGTATCTGGTATTTCATAGAATGTTCTTATGCATTTGGAATAGCAAATAATGAAATAGATTTAGCGCTTTTGATTTGACGCAATGCATACAAGATTTACTGCTATACACAGGCAGTTTCATCATATTGTGGTTGGTATAGAAGGTAATTATCTTAAGTTGTTGCACATATTTCAAATTTAAATGTTCTCTAACTAATGGAGTTCCTGCTGTGTGCGCATATTCAGGTGACTACAAATACATGAGGTTTGCATTTCCATTATTCCTTCACTGTTGTCTATAATTCTACAAGTATATAATTTTTCAATGAAAGGCACATATATTAATTAATGACATGCATTGCTTTTATATAGAGTTCAGTGTGTGATTGATTAATTGGACATGTAGGTTCGAATGTCGGAAATCAGGAATTAATTCTGGATTTTATTTACAGAGCATAAAAGACAACATATGTCATTTCTGTCTATCCAGACCCCAAACTGTTGCTTTCTTTTTTAGTTTTTAAAATCCAAATCAGTCATTATTCTAAACCTACACGTTTACACATTTGATTTTTTGTCATTAACTCTTCTAAATCCTTATATTCGCGTTCACTTTTTCCGCAATTATGATATGCAGTGTCTTGTATCCAGGGACCCATCAGAGGAAAAAATCGTAGAGGAATTCCTTGTCCATGAAGAGATAGAGGATAGCATGAGGATAGATGTTTTGAAGATCATAAAGGGAATGGGTAAGATTTTGCGTATTGCTAGGGTGATTTGCTTCCGGTCTCGAGATACCTATCATGAAATTCATCTTAGTAGCATATTTGCATTGTAATTTGTAATTTGGTATTCAAATGATGTTAGAAAGTTGTGTTTTGAAGCATTCACATTATCAATGATCATTCATGTGGGAAGCTTTGATATGTGGTGTGTTGCCTCTTGCTTTCTAAAGCAGCGGTTAACATAGGAAAAGTGTGGACTTCGTGACTTTGTCCATAGTCAGCAAAGAAGTGCATGGTTCAAATGTTGGTTTTCATATTCTGCTATCCTTTGTTTTATTAAATTAAGTGTTGCATACTTGCATTTGTTGATTTGTACTTACATATTCATGATGTTGATTTTTGGTTCGAGTAACAAGGCTGGACTAAAGTTATTTTTTTGACATAATTTTTGTTCGTAGTAAATCAGGATTTAATTTTTTGAAGTACTACACCAAGTTTTGATGAAACAAGATTTGACTTGACTCTTCCATTTTAATTAAATTTTTTAAAGACAATAAGGAAATAAAAGAGATGCAGTTTACCAAATAATAGTAAATGTGACCTCCATTTGGCATTTATTCTCAGGCTTCAAAGCAGAACATGAAGGTCAAGCAAATGATATTCCTTCTCTGGAATTTCAGGTTGTGCAAGACGCAGATCGACTTGATGCAATTGGTGCCATAGGTAACTAAGTCGATCACTTTCAGTTGCGTGGGTTTATTCATGATGAACACATATCACGCCAAGTCTATACAGAACAAATGTTAGTATCCCAATAAATTGAAAGTTTGAATTGAACTTTTAATGAAGAAACACTTATACGAATTGTGTATTCCTTCAATCCTTCTTAACATGTCGTTTACGCATTATAATCTTTGTAATCAAGGTTAACTATCAGGGGTGGAGATAGGGAGGGGCTGGAAGGGGCCTCGCGCCCAGAAAAAAAATCTTTAAGTATGTAGTATATATCATGTATAAATACTTTTAATCTAGAGAAAATATGTTGATATTTTAAACTTTGACCCCTTCAGTGTTAAATTTTCAAGGACCGACCCCTTAACCATAGGTTTCTGGCTCTGCCACTGGTAACTATATAGACATGTTTATGCTTCTGTTTGAGGGTAAGGCTTTCGTTGGATTTTCAACCATTATGGTTTTCCTAAAACTTTCAAAGTGAGATTGCGATATGGTAGGTTTATTTTTGATTTTTTAACGAAGTGTCAACTTCCAGGAATTGCTAGATGTTTTACATTTGGTGGAAGTAGGCATGGTGTTCTTCATGATCCTAAAATTCTTCCCAGGTCAGATCTTTCCAAGGAAAACTACATGAACAAAGATGAGCAAACAACTATTAACCATTTTCAGGAGAAGCTTCTCAAGTTGAAGGACATGATGAAAACTCAGGTTTTTCTGACTGCTTTTAGGAACATCTCTTTAAAATTGTTCTGAACTCTTAACATTCTTTGGCAATAGTTTGATTCATTTTAATTGACAGGCTGGGAAGAGGAAGGCTAAAAGGAGGCACAAAGTTATGGAAGATTTCTGAGAGTTTTATGAACAGTGGGATGGCAATGCTTGAACAGATCCATGTTTTTAAGATGTATGGAGTATAACTTTTGCAGGTGTGCACACAAGAAATACTTATCTCTGTCTTTCTAACAGTTAGAGCCAGGATGGACTCCTTGTTTTGGATTGGTTTTGGATTGTTTGATGTGCATCTGAACTTTTAAAAGCATTTCATTGGTAGATTGAACCCCAATGTTTTTCTTGTATATTACTACTCTCCTTGTTTTCCCGTGTAGTCAACTACAAAAAAAAATGAAACTCATTTTGTTTATGTAATTTTCTATTACATTACGATATATTGATTTATTCTACTGTTGTTATATAGTAAGACTTAAAAGTATTCCTGGATAAAGAGAATGAGCTTATCAAATTGTTGTAGAACTCTTCGACTGGTGGAAGACTTTCTCAAACTCCAAATAAATTATCCATAACGGAGTTAGGAATCCATAATTTTTTTGCTCAAACTCCAAATAAAGTATCCTAACTTGTTAAACCGTTCCTTGATGGAATCATTTTCTACCATGAGCAGCAAGGTTTCTCTGTCTTTTGTTGTTTTATGTATGCAATATTTTTTGTACAAATGAATTAAATTTGTATGAACTAGCATTCCTTCAAAACTAAAACTATAAATTGTTATCTTAGAATTCAGTATGCATTTGATTCTAATACTTTAGATAAACTAGTAGGAACAATATCTAAAAATATGGTAATTGAGAAACAAATATTCCTGATTTCCTTCCGCTCCATACTACTTACTGTTGTCTCAATTGGAGTTTCACAAGACTTAGGGAAGTGTATTAATAGAAGTTGGAGAAGATATATTTTGGTAGTCAAAACTTAATTTTCATTAGGCGAAATTTTGTTCAATGACTCAATGATAGAGTAAGTAGATTTTTATTATGGTTGTCCTTTTCTTAAAAAAAGAGTGAGATTATTAATATGGGGCAACAAAAGTCGAACATGTAATTTAGAACAAGGGAGTACAATATGAAGATGTTTTTCTTTTGATGATCAATATGGAGTAAAACAATTGAAATTAAAAACATTGTTTAATGGGATGTCTGAACCAGTTTTGTTTGCAAAATGGGCCAATTTTTTTTATTGAAGACAGCCTTAGAATAACGAAAGTAACATTGATGAACCAGAAGATTTTCCACCAGCAACATTTCAGTGTGCCAACACAAAGGTTTACACCAATTGGTATTTTAAGCATGGTGACAAAAAATATATGCTGAATATAAAGTCAGACAAAATGCATAAGCATGGTGACTGATAAGATACCACTGAACTTGACCGGCAAAAGGAATATGTATTCCAAACCCGCACGGCTAGCTCAGCTGGTTCAGTGGTGGCAAATTTGGAATCATGATTAAGGATCGAAACCTGCGGCGGCTGTGTGGAGATTACAGCTCCTGCACAGCTCCTGGACCTCTGGTGCGCATGGGTATAAGATCTACCATTATTGGGCCAACTGAATCACCGTCGTGACTTAGTCCTCCACCATTCTTTCGGGTCGAAGTGTGGAGCCTCCTGGAGTGGGAGATTCCACCTTTTGGAACAATGTATTCCACATATGATCAACAAGAATGTGTTGCTTAGTCCAATACCAAGTCATACATCAAATATCTAATATAGTCTCATTATTATTCAATCATAAAAGTCTGTTAGTGGCTTAGAGTAGACACATGGTTAGGAAACAGTACAAATATGTGTGTTTGTACCACCAACAAATAGCGGAATACATCAGTAACCATACTTGGTACAGTAGTCTTTGGGAGCGATGACAAGACCACGGCCCTTTCTGGCACCACGATAATACAAAGTCTCGACAATGTCAATGAACTCTTGTTTGTCCTTGAGTGCCCAGTTTATCTTGTTATTATTCACAGTTCAAGTCGATCATGATGTTTTTGTTCCTAAAGAAGAACATTACAGTCGACTGGAAGAAAGAAAAAAAAATACAGTCGACTGGTCATGCAATTCATACATTGTGTTGAAGCCAGGTACTTCGGTAATATCCACTAGGTATATCACTGCAAAATTCTTTAATGTCTCCGCCACTGAAGCCAATACTTCATCCATCTTAAAATCAAAGCAAAACAAAACAATTAGTAGGCACATCAAAATAAAGAAAACTGCACTGCCATTGGCGGACTCAGGAAAACAGTCCAGGGGGTCGAAAATCAACTTTATACAAAATGAAAACGGTAAATCTTTTTTAGACAATGTCTGAGTTGAATATTTCATATGTATTTTAGATAAATAGGCACTCGTGGCAATAAGAGAGATTTTCTTTTCTCTATTCCTGAGTCATGTCACATAAGTAATGAATTAATTATATGTTATTTTTAAAATTTGGGGGGATCAATATTATGCATCAAATATTGCTGATTTTGCAGAAGTCCTAATTTTTTACTCGTAAAGAGTAACAGAGACCATAATATATCAAATTGAATATATTTCATATCTCTATGCTCTCAAACTTTTAGCGGGGTCGACGAACCATCTTCACCCCCTGGCTCCTCCCCTGAGTACTGCAATATATGTAATACCGAAACCGACCGACCAAAACCGAAACCGATCAAAATCGAACCAATAAAACTAAAACCGACCGAAAGTGAATGATTCATCAGTTATTCGGTTTACAGTTCGTACTTTTGGCTTAAAAATCCCGTCAAACAAAAATAAACCGGAAAAAATCGGAAAAAATGGCTAATATCGATAGAAAACGATACGAATTGACCAAAATTGACTCAATTTTTGCGGTCCGATTGTTGGTTTCATTTATTTTTAAAGTCGCTAAAACCGAAAACGATAAAAACCGAAACCGACTAAAACCGAACAAATAAAATCAAAACCGACAAAACCGAACCGACGAATACCCCTACTATGTCGTATATAAAAAAAGATTACTTGACCGCAGTCAATAGCACACTCGGTTTAAAAAAATTATACTATATGATCATGTAGAAAGTTTTTCATTGCTCAATACAAAAAGTTTTACTCTATAATGCAAGTTTTACAATTATTATAGTAATTTTTCTGACTCTTTCATGAACTAATGGCAGACAAAAAGTCCTTAATGGTATGTTTGGTTCTTGTATTTTTTGGAGGGAAGAGGCACATTCACATATTTAGCCTTGGACGGAAAATTTACTCAAACCCTTATCACATTTTTAGTTGGTTTGGTGTCATACAAAAAAAAACTAAAATTACATTTTTCATATTACTCAGTAATCTATTACACAATAAATTATATATAGACAGGAGCGGATATCCTTTTTCATTAATGGAATAATGTTTGAAAATTAGAAATTACTCCAAGTAAGAGTAAACTATGACAAAAATTCAAAATAGGAGTTGTTATGTTTTTATTCCAAAATAGGACCATATTACACCGATCGAAAACATACCTACATTTTCATTTCATTCTTACCCTCCTTTAAATATGAGTAAAATAAAAGTAGTCAAAAGTCATAATAAATGTTTAATTCATAATAAATTCTAAAAAAAAATCAAAACACGTAGAAAAATCATCATAATACATAATAAAATAGAAATAATTGGGTGTATGTACAAGTTTAAATAGGTGTAGTGAATTAATGGCATGTTTTATTTATATAAAAGAAGAAAATCTCCTAAAAATGTGATATGCATTAAATGTTCTTAACAAAAATACTCTCGTGCTTATTAGTTTATCCAGTCAAATATGCTATGTATTTAAATTATCAAAAGAGAGGCTATTAATTGAACCTCTCTTATTTATATATGCTATATAGCTATTTAGCCCAATAAAATATTTATAAAATAAAAAATTAATTTATAAAAAAATTAATAAAAAATATTAAAACTCCATAAAAAAAATTAAAACAAATATGGATGCATTTCCCACCGCCTATACTGCCTCCCTACACCACCACTTCCGACCAGTGTAAAAATGCCATTTTTTCTAAAAACTGTCATTTCTTTCTGAAAATGCCAATAAAATGGCATATTACTTTTTTAGAATGCCAAAATTTTCATTGAATCTTCCATAAATATGGCATTCCTAATGCATGTGACATTTTTTCCCGGTGACCGGAGGTGGTGGTGCTGGGACGGCAGAGGTGGCGGTAATTTCTTTTTTTTTTTTATTTTGCGTTATTTAAATTTAGATGCCTTTCCCACCGTCTGTACTGCCTCCCTGCACCACCACCCCCTACGGGTGTAAAAATGTCACTTTTTCTAAACAGTGCCATTTTTCTGAAAATGCTAAAAATGGCATATTACTCTTTGAGAATACAACATTTTCATTGAATCTGCCATAAATATGACATTCGCAATGAATGTGGCATTTTCTCCCCTGGTGATTGGAGGTGGTCGTGTAGAGGCGCACGTACCACCGCCTCCCAATGAGCCATCCTGGGTTTTTGCATAAATTGTGAGAGAATATGAACTGAGTAGCAAATGTCGGGTCTGGTCAAAGTCAAATAAATAAGCTTTCCAACAAGCCTCCGGTAGCGCTCAGGATCAGGAAAAATCGGACCAGAATCAGACTGCTGTAGGGTGTGTTTCGGAAAATAAAGAAAATTAATTAAAATAAATTAATTAAAAATGACGAAAGAAAACAAGGAAAGAGATGGAGCAGAATTTAGTCAAAGCTCGTGCTACGCACGATTTCCTTAAAACGTATTTGTTGCCTCCCACGGTGCTAGGAGCGTTGCAACAATCGTTTCCCAGGATACGATGACTACGAACTAGCAGTGTGTTTTTAGAGGTGCAAAAGGTGCTTGGAGTGTATGAATTCGTGTGTTGTTGCAAACCACCTGCCAGCCATTATATAGGAGGATTTGTTGTGTGTAAATGGTGAATTAATGGACATGAACGTTGGACCTCAATGACCAGTCCGTTGCGCATTGAATCGTCCATTAAAACATATAAACGTTGGGCATTTATTGCTGTAACGGTTCAGAAGACCTACCAACAGAACACCCAACCAGGGTTTCTGTTCGAAGCCAACAGAAGACCCCGAGGGGTTCTGGTACGCGGCCACCAAAATACCCCAAGAGGGTCTCTGTCCCGCGGCCATCAGAAGACCCCAAGAGGGATTTTTGGGGAAGAACACAAAAATTACCCGTATCTCTTGAGAGATGGATTTTTGGACGACATTCGTGTCCGCAGGTCGCCCACGCACGCAAGTCGCGGTTTTTCTTCTCCGATTTTGGGATTTGATTTGCACCCCCCCCACCCCCCCCGCGCGCGCGTGGAGAATGCCTTTACCCTTAGGAATCTTAACTCCTTAAGGGGGGAGTCCCTTTATAAAGGGTTGCAAATCCCTTGGGTTTTCCGGTGTGGGAAATTAACAAA